TGTGAGAGAGAGAGAGAGAGAGAGAGAAAGAGAGAGAGAGATAGAGATAGATAGAGTAGTACATAAAGTGACTATGGAGGACACTTGGTGGTCAAACATAAACACACAACCATGTTCACACATTTTTACACTTTTTGGTAGCTTTTAGAAAACAGGTATCTTTCATCTTTTTCTATGGTGCTCTCACGGCAATTTTTTCGATCGAAGTATATATAGTATATAATTATAATAAATATATATATGCTTGTGTGTGTGTGTGTAAATAGCTTATCAGTCATCAAGTTAATATTCATATTGCCTGGTAGGTAGCCCATTTGGATTGCTCACCCGACAAATGCAAAGGAGCCCTTCGCAATCCTTTCGATTTATGTGCGAGGAGCTTACAATCAGTACTTTACCAAAGACCATGGCTTTGCACTTAAAAGTTAACCGATAAAAAAGTGGTTTCTAGTACACACAATTGCAGTGTACTTATATATTAAACTAACGCTTTGTCGGCAAAGTCCAGACCATCAGCAGTTACATATATTATAAACGAATTTCGCTATTCCAACAATTCGCCAACCTAAGCCTTTTTTTAGCAGGCGACATGAAAGGCAGCAGGAGACAAGCATATTAAGCAGGCTGAAGGGGGTGCAGGTTTCTCAGACCATGTAGTATGTATTTCTAATGTAACTATTTTAACTCAGTTGAGTTAAATTTTTAAGATTTTAAGAAACTATGTTGTACTCTGGGAGTGGAACTTAAAATATAAAAAATAGTCTAAAATAATTTTTTACCAGTTACCGCCTCAAACATAATTTCAATTAGCTTAAATAATGTGCTGTAAGTATTACAAGACTTTTTCGCGTGTCTCGGTACAAGAAAGTTCCAACAGGCGTATACTTAATTTTGCGCGTGTTTATTATCTGCCTTGGTAGCAGTTACACAAACATAATGCTCGTAAATTAAAATGACACGTTTTGCATACTTATATATATTCACACACGCACACACATGCAGCAGCTATAAAAAAGTTAATTATTCAATTAAATTACACTCGAAGGCGTTGCAGATGTCGCATTCGGCAAATGGCTGACAGACCCATAAAACTGACACTGCGAACTAGCACGGCAGAAGAAGGAAGGACCGGCAACACCGGCAACTCCGGCTAGTCTGTCTGGCTGGCCTGATCGGACAGTCAGACAATGCAGACAAGAGACAACGCACCGAAATCATATAAAATCATGTTTATTTAATTTGCATTATAAAGTGAGGCGGATCGTTAAATTCACTTGCCAGCGGCGACCTCGTTCGCATTTTAAAAACAATAAAACAAAATGATTGACAAATATGCCCAAATATATATACTATAGGCCCACGGATACGAGTAAATGATGGGCGCGTTTTCTCATAGGAGGACATCAAAATTACGACCTAGCACCAAAGCACGGCATCACGCAACCCCCGGCGGGGAATGCACTGTTAAGGGGCGAAGGAAGGGTGTAAGCACGCATATTAATAAGCTCAGGGGTTGCCGTCTGGGGGTGATATAGGGAATTCTGTCCGTCAACGGAGGGGTCAGAGCTCAACCAGTCCTCGCGCTAGGAGCAGAGCAATGTAATGAGAGCCGCTGCCGTTGCTGACGCTGGCCAACGGCTTATGCGTGACCGTGTCCTTCCTATACCGTTTGCTGTAGTTGCCTTTGTAGTTAGTCAATGTTGTTGCTGTGCTTGTTGTGTGATTAATTCGCGCAAAGAGTTGTGCGCTTCCGCTTCCGGTTGTTGCGGTACTTTATGCTTCACATTTCACAGGAGGCTGACTCGAGCTGAGCGCGCATGTGTGGGTGGGCGTGGCATAAAATTAATTGTTTTCTACCCAACGAGGCTTAAAAACACATGCTCATGTAACCCACGTCCGTTTCAAAGGCGCACGTTGCTCATGTTTGCCAGTCCCCAGTAACCCCCACCCCCGACCACAACTACTTCTATTCGGGAATTATATAGTACATACTAACATACTCACATGTCGGTCACCAGGCAACGGTTGACGATTTGCTTTGCTCTACGCATTTGAGATAAGAGCAGCGCAACGGGTTCGTTTGTGTACAATTAATATAAAAATCAGGCACACTTATCTTAATTAGCTAGTCGCTTATAAAAGGCGAACCAAAACTACAGGACGCGACACTAAAACACGCTAAGTGTACAACCTGAAAAACTGTCGACTGTATGCCTTAAAGAGTATATGCGTGTGTGTGCCTGTGTGTTTGTGAGTGTGGTAACGTCGCAAATCATACTTGTGCTTATTATGACACTTCACAATGCATAGTGAATTTTGTTCTGCAAGTGGCACGTTTAGTTTGGGTAACGGTCCTCGTTTCCTACTAACCCCTTGTGGACTCCAAAGCTGCTTGTGCTAATTCGCGCTAAATACTTATGCTATGTATACGCGGTGTGTGACGCTTTCAAAGAGTTACAAAATATATGTATGCAAAAAAATATGGTAGAAATAGTTACAGGGCTTGGTAGGCTGCCTTTTTGTGTATTATTTTTTTGTTTGTTTGCTAGCTGTTCTTTGTCTTTGTATCCTTTATTCGGCTCAAATTTACAATTGCAGAATTACAATAAACAACAGCAAAATTTCAATGCATAAAAACAAATTCAAATGCCATTTCCCATGGGTATTTGAAACACACACGCCCACACTGGCATAGATTCCAGCTCTGCTATAGAAAAGCTGGAATTTTTTCAAATACTTCTATATCTATTGAAATATTCAGCATCGAACAAAAATACGGGTGACAACAAATATTGCACAGCATTTCTACACAATTTTAAACCGGCTCAAAGGCAAAGCAACAGCTATTAAGCATTCCAATTCGCTTCTACATTTCAATTTGTAAAGGTATTTTACCTAAATATATACAAATATTTGCCGACTGACTAATTCGTGAAACACGCAGACTCGAAGAGACTTATGAGCCTGGAAACTGATATTTTTTTCCACTGTGACCTTGTGTGAAGGAAAGCGATGATCGGCCTTATCTTTGTAAATTTCGTTTTATATATTCTTTAGACTTCTTGCAAGTTCCTTCTTCGAAAAATGCAGATTGTAGTGCAATTTTGTGTGCTCTGCAATTTCATAATGAGCTTGTAAGATTATGATGTAGGTCTGGAATCTTTAAAAACATAGAAAATATTATCTAATACTGCTGCTTTTAATCTTCTGGTATAGCTCCTCAGGAATAGTATGAGTTTGTGGTGTAGGTTCGGTATTCTACAAAAGCTTATAATATGTTATCTAATTTATAAACTTGTGAACTAGATCTTAAGCTTGACCTCAGTTGCATAATGTCGGCGATTTTGCGTTTACGTCCATTAAATTGCACAACCAACTGATAGAAAGAAGTCATGTAATTGTAATTGAAATGAAGTAAACGTAAATTGCGATAAAATAAAAGTCAGCAGCAGCTGGAAGCGAAAAAAAAGTGACGGCCAGTGGAAAAAAGCAGCAGTGCGGCGGCAGCCAGCGAGCCACCGAAATGTTTGTTTCCTTTCAAATCAGTACTTTTCCTTTAACCTGGGCTGCTGCTTACCTTCGCCTTGCCGTTGAAGTGGCGCTGAGGCCGAGACGAGGCAAAGAAAATAAGTGGAAATCACTTGAAAATACTAACGAGCTGTTACGCTTGGCAAGAAAAATATAATCAGCAGCATCATGTCTGCAGGTGCACTTAAAAGGCGTTCACTTTTTCTTGCCGCGCCCCTCTCTCTCCACGCTGCCAGGCGGACATGGGAGAGCTTCAGCGCCTTAACATACGCTGAACAATGGCTAAGTTGAACAAATCGTAAAACAATTAAAATTAACCTTTTTGCACATTTAAGCAAAAAGCATGCAAAGCAAGTGAAGGAGAGCCAAACAAAGAAAATGAACATAGTTAAACAGTTTTCAGTTAAGTTTGGCTAAGCCTACGGACACAGCAACAAGAAAGCGTCAAATCTCAGGTAAATCCCAGCAGCCAGCTTTTGTCAGTCTACATCAATTGCGCTCCACTTGGACCTGTTCGCCGTTTGCTTTCCCGACCAAAGCTGCCCCACAACTTTTGAGCTCAGCTGGCGGCCCGTTTATACTACTCGAGGCGCCGATGATGACAACGCGTCGTCAACAATGACGACGACGACGACGATGACGATGATGGCGGCTTTGAATGAGTGCAAGTTTGTTTTGCTTATGAAGGCCACGACGCGCAGTCGGACGAATCGTGATCATGCCAAGATTATAATGAAGTTCCGCAGCTCGTTATTAACTTGGCGCGTGCCGCCTGCAGCTTATTCCCCAGTATTGTTGGTATCATTCGTTTGCCATGGAAAATGGAAAATGACTTTGAACTTTATTGTTTAGCTTTGTCCGATTGTTGTTTTCGGTTTGCAGTTGCGCTGCATTTATTGGGGGGTTTTTATGTGTTGAATTGGTCGCGTAACTTGATTCATAAATGCACAGTGAAAGAGAGAAATGGGTGCGAAATTGGAAATGGCAATATCAAATGCATTGCTATTAAGATTTGGCCATTATAGCCAGAGGAAGCGAGAAATATTAAGAAAGAAATAGGTAGCAGCGGGCAGGTCAACCAATGCAAGACACTCACTTTGCTTGGCTGCACGACGCGACGGTCGCCTTCTATAAACAAAAATTGCGGGGCTGAGGTTGCAGATTGTGTAACAGGAAAACATTGGCCGTTGCTTGCGTTGTCCTACTGAGAAACTGCAGTATAAAAACGCAGGCCAAATGCAAACTGCATACATTTCAATTGAAGCAGTGCAGCTATCGAGGTCTACCGACCAGCGCCAGGAAGACTACTTAAGCCTGAAGCCTCAATCCAAGCTAAATGGCCAACACTTTTAGGGTAAGTAGAGAGAAAGGGCGTTAGGTACGCGAATGAACCAGTTCCAAGCTTAGTATTGTAGATAGCAATTGTTGGTCGCTTGGTGATTATTAAAAATGCATTAGCTTGAGATGAGCAGATGGCGTCCTGGGTCAGTGCTGGAATATTTTCGCAGTTTTCTAGCACTTTGCCTTTTACAAAACTATTTCCATGAACTTCACTAAATCTTGTTCCGCAGATGCCGCTCATTGTGGCCGTTGCAATTGTGTGGATTGCCGTGCCGACCACAGTGACAGCGACGACGAAAGCTTCATCAATGCAAGCACGGACGACAGGTACGGACAACGGCGCCCAGACAGCCATTTACAGCAGTTATGCCCACAACATGGCACAAGGCGCGGCGCAGTACGATAATCGGTGGCTGCCGTTGGGAGAGCAAGAAACATCCATGCTGCATCGCTACGCCTTAAACTACGATGCGGCAGCAGGGGAGCGGCGCAGCTACAGTAGCGATTCCTCTGGTTTTAGCGGACATGGCCAGGGCGGACTAGGAGCCGTGCTTAATGGGCTCACAAATCTCTCGGGCATGGGACACATTACAAACGGCTACGGCTCAGTGGCGCCCAAGCACACCGAAGCCTTAGCAGTGGCTTCGTCAAAACAAGAGATACCAATTTATGAGGAGCAGCATGAGGACGCGGCCGTGGCGGCGGTGGCGGCAACAGCCCACGATTACGGCGATATAGGGGCAGGTCAAAGCGGTTACGGCGGTGGGGAACACATCCAACAGCACTCAACTGCGGGCTTCAACTCAGCCATTTACAACTATCCAGCGGCTATTGGAGGAGAGCAAGGCTCCTGGGCACCTTCATCTGCTCAGCAATATAAGAAAGCGGTAGGATATCAGCCGGAACAGGCGGGCAACCATTACGCCTACGACAAAATGTCAGTGGGAAATTATCTGAATTCAGGCTACGAAGCATTTCAGCAGCATCACGCTGAGGAGCAGCATCATCAACAGCAGCAGCAGCAACAACAGCAGGAACAGCTGGAACACGTTTCCTATTTCACACCTCATGAAGGTGCGGCATCTGCGACAGGATCGGGCTCTTCAGCCAGCGGACCAAGTGATTACGAACAGCACCAGGACGGCGAGGAGCAGAGCTCCAATTTTCTGGCCGAGTCAAGTGGCCACGATGAAAGTCACGCTCATTCCCATCAGTCACATCAGTCACATCACCATGTGGATATTATCAACTATGTGCCTGTAAAGCATGTTAAGAAGCAGCACGTGCCCGTGGAGAAAACTGTCAAAATACCCATCTCCCATGCTGTTATCATTCCGATCAAGAAGCCAGTTCCAATCCACATACCCATCACTAAGCAAGTACAAGTGGCGGTCGAGAAGGAGCTAAAAGTGCCGGTGGAGCGCATCGTGCCGGTGCCAGTGGAAAAGCACATCCCAGTACCTGTAGAGAAGCGGGTACCATACACGGTCGTCAAGTATTTGCCAATCAAGGTGCCCAAGCCATTCCCTGTCAAGGTGCCAGTATTTAAGACAATCCTGCACAAGGTCAAAGGCTGGTGGTAACTCTTCACTGCACTCCACTCTTCACATAAGCATAATCGCGAACATTCATTTCATTAGTAATAATTACATTACACATACGTCCCGTACACCAGCAAAGCGTTTTGCAAACGCTGTCATGCAATTTTGCACAGTTCGTGTTGTGTTTATCGTCGAGTTGTAAAATGAATTTTGTTAAGCCAAAATCCTGTGTTGTATACCAATTTTGTGACTCATTTAACATTACAACCATATGCATTTGTATGAATACAGGAATAAGTATAAAACAAACGAAAATGCGTTGCATTAACTCATTTTCAGAAATCGTCAGTTGAGGTCGAGCTTTTTTTTAGCCGTAATTTAACGCTGCATTTATTATGTACACAGGCGCCATCAAGGCAGTCTGGCAAATTTATTCACTTAAATCGCACAAAATGGAATTCTGTTAAACGAAGTGAAGTTCATCTAGGCGACTGTTGTTGTTGTTTTCAAACTGCCAAATGCTATTTACAGACCATTACATCCTTAGTAGAATCTAGCAGCAGGACATCCTTATGCCTACGGCGCAATTTGAGCAATTCCAGCCAGCTAGAGCTACCGTCACGCAAACTTTAATTAAATTAAGAGCACACCTTTTGTTTCCCTGCTACGGATCGGAATGCACAGCTGTTCTCAGTATTTATCTCTCTGTCTCTGCCTTGACCTGATGTCAGTTTGTATTTTGCCTGGATTGTGTTGGAACACTGCAGTGACAGTATTTGAAACGAGTCGCATGCAAGTCGCTAAATCAGCTCTGTTTTGTGCAGCACATCTTCTCACATTGTTGGACTAACTTGGTTAGCTAGGAGTAAGTATTTGGTTTGGCTTATTTAAATGCCCATTAACTGTCATTAAATTATTGTAATTTATTCGCATTTCGCAAGTAGACAAACAGGCACAGGCAGAGAGACAGTTATACTCCGACATGGAAGCACAAACATATATCATTCATCATTTGGCTGTCTCCATCTCCCGTTCGTGACAAAATAAAACTCAATTGCTCACATGCACTGCGCGTCTTTCGCCGCCATTTTGAACAGCTCGCACGCACACTTAGGCATTTGCATGGCTCGTCCTGCGTCCTCCAATCCGGGCCGCACCGCGCCGCGCGCTTCTTTGTTGCAGCTGTGTGTGGTTGTGGTCGTTTGCCTTTGCCAGCCGCTTGTCAGTCATGTGGCTGTATGTGGCTCTCTTTCTTTTACTCTTACTCTTTCTCGTTTTAGTCCACGTTCACGTCCTTGGCTCTGCTTCTTCGCCTGCTTCATTTACTGTATTTTTGATGTCTAAATTGCATTTTATTATGTCGCCTGCAACAACAAAGCGAGCAGCAGAAAAACTCCATTGCTCGCTCCATATGCTGCCCAGCCCCAACCTTCCCCCTCCACAAACCATCTGCACCCTTCCCCCCTCATATCATTGTCGGCTCTCGGCGCTTGTGACTTTGCATGTCGCTGTCGGCGCCGCTGCTGCTGCTGTTGATGTCGCTCTTGTTGTTGCGGTTGTAAATTTTATTTATCATTTAACATTTTTTACGGTCTTTATGCTGGGAGGGATCCAGCGACACACTTTAAGTGACTTTTGAAGCACTTTATTTTGCATACAAAGCCTTGCCTTGCCTTGCCATAAGTGTGTGCATACGTGTGAATGTGGTGCATACACTTCATACGGCTGATAACTCTTGGCTGGGTGGTAGCTTCCGTTCTACTCCACTAAGAGAAGTTCGCACTAGACTTCAGCTAATGCACTTTTCACAGAGGTATAAAAACGAACTCATAAAATATTCCGATTTCTATTTTTATTTTTATTTTTTAATTACTATTATTGCCGTAGTCGAAAGAGTTGTAGGACTTACCTTCTATTATCTTTATGTTATAGAAATAGATTTCCACTTATATATCTTCTTCATGTATTGATCTTTGATGCTCGTTAGCAAGTTGTTAAGTAGCTAGCAAAATTCATGAGCACCATCCTAGAAATCGAACTTATTTTTGTACAGTAAAGTTCGATTCTCCTTTAGGCATGGTGAATGGCAACAGCTAATTGGATGTCTTTTACAAATATTTAATACAGCAATACATTACGAGAGCATTAGAAGGTGAATCGGGACAGGAACAGTCCTCTTTTATTTGGCTTTCGGACTGGTGTCAAAAACGGCTGCACATCCTACACACAAGACGGTGCTCGTTTTTCGTTCTTGCGTATTAAATAAATAATTTAAAATTCAAGGTTGACAGAACACCCAAAATTGTGCACTCTAAACACAATTATATGCATATTCAGTGGCAAAAAAAAACTTTTAATAATGACTAGTGAGTATTGTGTGAGGAGGTGTGTGTTGTGTGTGTGCTCTATTCAGCCACTATGTTTGTAGTATTATTAAAAAACTTTTGCATAATGAAAGTTGTCTGCACGCAATATATTACCAAAAAAGTTTGCTGTAGCGAGTTACTTATACGTAGAAATATTTTTGTACAAGTTTTGAAAATATGATTTTGCATAGTATATATGGGCAAAGCATAATACAATTTACACACATACACATAATATTCCGCACTACGATCCATTTTAAACTGGTTGTTAAATTATTTGATTATTTAGATTGTGGAATCGTGGGCATTAGTCCCGACTCTCCTCTAGCTAAGTATGGGTATGTTTTATCCCCATTTTTATACCCTGAACCCATTAAAAATGGGTATAAGGGTATATTGTATTTGTGCAAAATCCAAATGTATGTAACAGGCAGAAGGAATCATCTCCGACCCCATAAAGTATATATATTCTTGATCAGCACCAATAGCCGAGTCATACATTTGGATTTTGAACAAATACAATATACCCTTATACCCATTTTTAATGGGTTCAGGGTATAAAAAATATATCGCCACTCAGCGAGATGGAGGATGAACATCAAGAAGTAACAACTTATACTTCTTGATGTTCATACAATTTAGGATAGTCTCTTTTTTTAGGGTCAGCGCTGCAGCTGCCTTAGATTTTCGCGATGTGATAGCATTTTTAGGGTTTTGCCCATCTAAACTGCGACACAGGGCACGGCTTATGGGAAACATTGTTAAAACTCGCCGACAGACTCCTAAACACGAATAGGACATACTTATTCAGGTAAATTTTTGCGGATTGTGTCTGCTGTTGGATAAAATGATTTACGTGTTGCCCGTGTGCCTGTTTAGCCTCAACGCCCCCTTTGGAATATAAATGGCTTAAATAAGTTGCCAATTACCAGATGGTTGCTGCATATATTTTCATTTGTATGCACAACCGAAATACGAATACAAATAGCCTTAAAAGGACTTCCCCCTCTTAAATAGCATAGTATGGTAAATGCCACATGTGTTGTTGGCATTAATGTTCTGTGTCGAAAGCATTCAGCAGTATTTACAGTTGGAGAGTGTGCACTGTTATATTTAATTACTATTCTACAAATTGTTGAGTGACCGAGCTAGTCTTAATTTTAAGAAACTTTAATATGATAATACTAAAAAACGGGTAAATAATTTTGCAAAACTCTTTTTCCTATGGTATATTTCTATGATTTGCGTATGCAATATTTTTTTGTCAACTGTACATATTTCTAGATGCATATTGCTATCTTAGATTCCAAGTGTGGTAAACTACGGACTCTTTATTGATTATATATCAGAGACCTGCAAGATAGCTTGAGTTCATAATTTCTGTCATGGCTGGCAATAAATTATTTCCTGTCAGCTTGTTAACAGGTCTTCAGGAATTGTTTCATGTTTGTAACATTTGTTTCTGTTTCTGCACGACCTGTTGTTCACAGTTTTTGCTCATTATGCGCGTGTCTCTGTTTGCGTAACTTGAATAATAGCCACGGTTGAAATATGAGTCAGGCTTGTCTGCTTTTGCAGCTGTTAAGTTTGAAAACTAATGAGTGCAGCTGAGTCAGTGTCTATATCAGAATTATTGAATTGCATTTCTCTGTAGCAATTGTCAATCAGGCTGACCTGTGTGCAACGGAATACATTTACGCAGGAAAAAGAGTGTCGCTAGTTCAGAAACAGTTGGATGAGAACCTGAGCAGCTGGGAACGTAGTAGTTTTTGAATTTTGGATAATGTGTCATGAAAAATGTATGTAGAGCTCAAGAACTATGCAGTTGATTTCTAAATGACAATCCTCAATTTTAAGGCTACGCCAGGCACAGCTGCCCAAGCTCACCCTCGTTCATGGACAAGTTGCCCCTCCATTTTGTCCTTTTGTATCTTAAATGCGACCTTTAATAACAATTATTCGCCTGAGTAAAGTTTGAATAGTAACTAAAAACGTCGGCCATGCTTCCATATCCTTTTCCTGAAACTGCGATATTGTGTCAGTTGACATAAATCCTTTTATGCCCTTCTGTACTGCCTATGAATATGGGTATGGGTGTGTATGTCCTTGCCAAAATTATGATTGTGTGCGCTAAAGATTTTAAAGTGAAGCGTAAATAATTTATGGTAATCGCAAAATGTGCACACTAGCTGCACTTTAGTTTTGTACAAAACACACGCGCATACAAACACAGGTCTATGCAAACGAGCAACCCATAAATTTTCCAACATGAAAAATCACTCATACGCCAAGTGAACGTCCGAAAAATTGACCGCCTTTTAGGTTCATAAGCTGAGAAAAGTTCCGCTTGTATTTTAGTACAGTAGACAGTTTCTCCTGCGAGTTTGTGACGCAAGCGAACCAATTAAAGCTATCAAGCAAGCCAGAAAGTATATTAACACTAAGACATCCCGCTCGGTGTTAACATAAAAAATTACAGCCACCTGAGTCAAAATGTTATGTCGCACATAAATTTGAAAAACCAAAAGCTGGCTGGCCTGGCCAGGCCAACTTTGAAAGGTGTCCGCGCGCCCCTCGAAATGGGTTAAAAGTTTTAGAGCTGCGGTCTGGCGAAGGGCACCAACTGTTTTCGGTGTAGTTTAGCTGTCATTTTTCAAAAACGTTTCTTTTTGTCGC